AACATAATGAAAATCATTTCTACCAACTTTGACATAAGATTTATCTTTTTCTGGTATTTGTTTGAGAGGAATTTTTTCATTCAACACAGTTTTTCCATAGATTTTTGCATTATAACAAGAACATGAGCGGAACATTAAAAAATTGACATTTACGACACTTTTTGAAGTTCCCGTAGACAACCCACACCTCCAATTTCTAGCAACGATTTTTAGGGGCAAAAGTGCCGCTTATCTGCGGGTTTTTCTGGTATTTTGATTCATTAAAGTTTGGGTTTATTTTGGATTTTGAACTCTTTAACTGAAAATGGATTATTGAAAGGAATTTGAATTTTTGGTGCAGTTGTAACCCTTCGTTGAGTTTCCTTGTGAAAGTTTCCTGGTAATTGCAGCATTCATGATCTCACCTAGTGCCAAAATTTTTTTTGTAGCTGGTAATCGTCGTCCACAGGGAAGAGGATCTGGCCCAAGAGTCAATAAACCACGAACAGTTGGTGGTCCTGTTAATTTTGACGGCGAGTTTGATTTTGAGAGTTCAAATGCTAAGTTCAATAAAGAAGAAATTGAGGAGGAACTACAGCAAAAACTCCATGAAAACCTAAGGTTGAAAGACGAGGTAATTAAGTAATCTTTCTTTCATTGGTAGGCATGTATTGATTTTGTATATGAGAATGATGTTTTGTATATGTGCGCAATCCTTAGGATTGTGCACATATACGTTTCATAACCGCAGTTCAGATATATAACCGCAGATACATAACTGCAGTTCAGATATATGTATTTTCATATATTCGTTAAGAATGATGTTTGTTGGCCAAAAACTATTTGCTTATGAATAAGGGATCTAGATACTGAATCTCAAAGAAATACTTCTTTTCCTATTAATATAGATTAGCTAGGATGCATTTTGACAGTCCTTTGTTATGTGGTCAAATCTCTTAAGTGGGCAGTCGTTGGAAACAATTTGTTTCACTGCTTTAGTAAAAAAGGAGTTGTTTGATGATCATGATCCAGACTAAAATAACTCATTACAATGGGTATCAGTGTTGTTGAAGTTGTGCTAGTCCATTTAAAAAAAAATTGATATTTCAGAAACAGCATAAGCCAAACTTCAACCCTAAAAAAGGACTTAAGGTGGCTCGTACCAGTTTCCTCACGTGGGAAACAGGTTACTCTTGCATGACGCACGCGAGAGAAAGGTGCAAAAGAAGCGCAAGATCAAAAGATGAAAATTCAAAACAAAGATGGCTGCGCGTGGAATTTTTTCTACTTTTGTGAGAAGTTTACCTAAGAGGTTGTATTTGATGTGTTGAGCGGCCACTTTGAATGCAGGAGATAGAAACTAAGATAACGAAGACGATTTTCGGAGAAGTAAAGGTTGCTTCACTTCACATTTAAAAGAAATATTCAACCGATATGAAATCTTGTGACGGCGAAAAAAGAAGAACTCAAGTGAAGGATAATCTACCTGAAGTGGAAGAAGACTTTGAAACTTCAAGGAAATAATAT